CAGCTACACATTACATCAATAACTATTTAAAATGAGTATTACAGCTACAAATACAAATGCAACTAGAACTACACTACATTACACAACACCCACTACACTAATTGCATTACATACATCAAACTGCAACTACCACTTCATTGCACTACACGACACGACACTACAACTACAACTGCAACTACAACTACAACATACTACTTTACACTACAATACACTCGCCACACTACACTTAGCACGCTACAGTGCACAACACTACAGTACACTACAATACACTACATTAATTACACCACACCACAACTACAACTGCAACTACACTACACTAATTACACAACATTACAGCTACAAGTTACAACTACAACTCCACTACGCTACAACTACAACTACACCTAGGTACAACTACAACTACAACTACTGCGCTACACCATTACTACAATTACTACAATTAAGACAATTACAACTTCAACTACATTTCAACTACACTACAACTACGACTACAACTACAACCACAACTACAACATTACAACTTCAACAGCATCAACACCACTACAACTACGACTACGACTACGACTACGACTGCGACTACAACTACCCTGAGGATCCGATATTGAAAAAAATCAATCCTGATCAATCCTGATCAATAATATTGAAAATGATTTTTTTCAATACCAGGAAAATATGTTTTTCAATATCGAGGATTGAAAGAAAAGATCAATATTTCCAATCAATATCGATCAATAGCATGATCAATATCATATAGTAGTATCATCAGCAAGTCAAGACCATCATCAGTCTTCAGCTACAATTGTCAGATCCATTTTTCAAGCATGTAGGGGGCCATTAGAGGCATTCACAACGCGCAAGCTTCTATTTCATACTCATATGTGCCAGAGCTGTTTTTGCTTATAGCAGGTTTAAACTCATTGCCTGGTCTGGGCCTGAAAGAAGGCCATTCTTCAAAGTTTTGGGGTTTCAGCTGGTGTGTTGTGGGCTTGAAAGATCAATCATCTTCAAGGGATTTGAATCTGAGGATTTTCAGCTTGCTAGGGCTTGAAAGAAAGCCATGACATCCAAGGGTGGAGCACGCAGGTCATTGGTGCCACCAGTGGACTTGGATGCTTTGCGAAAAATTTTTGAGACAGCTGTGGCCACCCAAGGTGCTGATGCTTTTAAACTTGGTGACTATCAGGAGAAAAGTGTAAGCACAGCTGTGAGCTCTGCAGGTTTGCACCACAATGCAAAGTATGTCAAGGAGTTCTACAAAATCTCAGAAGGAGAAATTCCCTCTGGGCAGTTGAAGCAGTGCATCCTCAAATATGGGTACACTCACAACGACAGTGAGTGGAAGGATGACCTGTGGGCAGGCAAGCTTGCAAGTCAATTTGTCTGCTTGCTCAGCCATGTGAGAAGACTGAAAAGAGACTCTTCGAAACTAAGGCAGTGCCTGCAGGGAGCTACAGGGGCTGAAAGGCAATCCATTCTTGAAATTGTGGATTTGCCAGATGCTTGCAAGAAAGCAGCCCCAGGTCCTGAGGATGACCAGGCCTGCAAGAAGGCCAAAGCTGCCAAGGAGACTTCTTCTGCGAAAGCTGCAGAGGCTGGTGGCCAAGGAAGTTCCAGCTCTGCTTCTTTGAAAGAACCCGAGGAGCAGGCCTGCAAGAAGGCCAGAACTTTGAAACTACAAGTTTCAGATGTTTCTGTGGACTCCCATGGCTGGCCAGCCATTCTCAATTCTCCAAAGGCTGCAAAAGAAGAAGAAGAAGAAGTGAAAGATTGCTTTTCCAGAAACATGACAATTCTGGAAAAAATGAGGGTAAGCTGCAAGGAGCAGCTGGATAAAGCTGCACAAGAGGCAGCCCAAGAGTTGGTTGAGAGCAGACCAGGGCTTGAAAGAAGGTCAGAAATCCAAAAAAAGCCAGCCAGCAAAGAATGCAAAAAAAAGCCAGCTTCGAAGAAAGCTTCCTTGCCCAAGGCAAAAAGCTTAAGGCCTGAAAGAAGGCCCACAGAGAAGCAAGGACCAAAAAAAGAAGCAGCACCACAGCCAGAACCATTGGTGGCAGCAGAAGGGCCAAGGCCTGAAAGAAGGCCATGGTCAGCAGTGAAAAAAGTCATGGGCAAGGACCAAGCCTATCTCATGGGCCTTTTTGGAAGAGATTGGAAGCTCATCATTGGCTGCACCAAAAGAATGGGAAAGATTTTCCCAGGTGGGCATCACGCTGTGATTTTGGAGCTGGAAAAGGTGGCCATGGAGGAGGACATAACAAAGGAAAACATGAAAGAAAAAAGAGACGATTTAGTCAAAAATGTAGATTGAATGCCTGAAAGAAGGCATACACCTTTCTAACAGGGCAAGGCCTGAAAGAAGGCCACTAGGAGGGTTCAGGCCGCAGCCATGTGCAAAGCACATGGCCAGGACTTTTTTCTTGGCCAAAAAAAATTGTGGTTTGGGGTTTGGGTAAAGTGTTTGTTTTTGTGGGGCAGGGGATAGCCAACGAAATTTAAAGAAAAACCTCACCGTTTTCACTGTCATTCTTTTTGTACTTAGGTTATGACCTGAGTGTTCCAGGGGTGTTATGTTCACCAAAAAGGGTTTAACATAGTAGGCGAAAGCAATCTGTTTGTTGCCTGCAGCCTTTTGAGCCTCAAAACCGAAGATAGGTGGGGGGGCACCTTTCAACCTCTAAGCGCACTTCAACTTAAGGCCTGCAAGAAGGCCCAGCAATTCAATCACTTGCAAATCTTCCAGCTCAAGGCCTGCAAGAAGGCCATCTGAAACCACATGACCTGGTGGGTAGGCCGAGCTTATGCTGGCTATGTGCCCTGGGGTCATGAAAAGGATTGGGATGATGGCGACACCTGGACTGGCTGGGAAAGGGAGCCTGATAGGGAGCTGAGAGACAGGGAGAGAAGGTGGAGGGACAGGGATGAGGAGGAGGAATCATCCTCTGACAACTCCCTGCGCAGGGGGCAGAGGAGACAGGAGGAGGAGGCTCCCAGAAGCACACAGGGCCGCCTCTTTGGCCCAAGCCCTGCAGAGGCAGCCAGGGAAGGCCTGCAAGAAGGCCAAAAAGGGAAAAGCAAAGGCAAAGCCAAGGCCAAAGAAAAGGGGTCAGGTGCAAGCAGCAGCAGGCCTGAAAGAAGGCCAGCTTTTGTCCCTGAGCATCGACCAGGGGAGGAGGATTGGGACCCTTTCAGGCAAGAAGCCAGGGGCAAGAGGGGAAGGGAAGCGAGAAAGGCTTTGAGGGCCAGAGACCCTGAAGTCCAAGCCAGGAAAGAGAAGGGCCTGAAAGAAGGCTTTAAGGAAGACAAGGTTCAGCCTTTGCATGAAGGGAGCAGGAAATGGAGGATGATCAAGGAGAGGGAGAAGGAGGTGAAGGAGGAGGAGGAGCAACTAATGCTTGAAAGAAAGCAGTTGCTGGAAGAGAAGGCAGCCTTCTTGGAAGAGAAGGCTGCATGGCTCAGCAAGCAGGAGATGAGCCCCAGCCCTGCCAGAGGGGTTGTCCTGCAGGAAGGGCCAGGGGCCAGGCCTGAAAGAAGGCCAAAAAGGAAGGACAGCAGCAGCAGCAGGCCTGAAAGAAGGCCAAAAAGGAAGGACAGCAGCAGCAGCAGGCCTGAAAGAAGGCCTAAACAAAAAGCCGGCAGATCCTCCTCCTCTTCTTATTCATATGAATACAGTGAAGAGGAGGAGGTATTTGTGGAGGAGGAGCAGCCAGACTGGCAGGAGGAGGAGGAGGAGAAAGAGGAAAAGGAGGAGGAGGAGCAGCCAAAGAAAAAGGACCCCAAGGACAAGGAAAAGAAAGCTGCAAAGGAGGAGGAGGAGCGAAAGGAGAAAAAGGTTTCCAAGGAAAAGGAAGCTGCAAAGAAGGAGAAGAAGCCCCAAAAGGAAGAGAAGCCCAAGGAGAAGGAGAAGGAAGATGACAAGGATATGGAGGAGGGGAAAACAGCCAAGAAGCGAAAGGAAAGGAAGAAAGTGGTCAAGGAGGAGGAGGAGGGGCAGGAGGAGGGAAAAGAAAAAAGAGAGAAAGAGGTGGATGCTTCTGACCTGTGAGGCTTGAAAGAAAGCCACAGGGAAGAAATTGGCATGCACAAAAACTTGGCTTGAGAGAAAGCCACAAGGAAGAAAAGTAACCAAAAACAGGTTTGAAAGAAAGCCAAACCACCTCAGGCTGTCTCACCAGGGGACAGGCCTGAAAGAAGGCCCCCCTGCTTCAGCGACCAATAAATAAAAAAGAAAAAAAAGATAATAAATAATATAATAAGAAATTTAAAAGTAAATAAAATATTGAAAAATAAAATAAAATGAAATAATAAGAAATAATAGTTAAGGTAACTGAAAGAGAGCCAATACTATTTGAAAAAAGAAGAAACATTTAATTAAAAAAAGCATGTCATAAAAATGTTATAATTTAAAAAAATAACTTCAACTGCGCCTAAACTACGCGAAACCATCCTGTGAAGTTCCCAACTGCGCGAAACCTGCGCGAAACCATCCTGTGGAGTTCAGTGCGCGAAACCATCCCAACTGCGCGAAACCTGCGCGAAACCATCCTGTGGAGTTCCCAACTGCGCGAAACCTGCGCGAAACCATCCTGTGGAGTTCCCAACTGCGCGAAACCTGCGCGAAACCATCCTGTGGAGTTCCCAACTGCGCGAAACCTGCGCGAAAAACATCGTGTGGAGTTCCCTGGGGTCTGGCAAACTCACACGCATGTTTTTTTTTTAATGTTAACTTTCAAACTTCATGTAAACCAAAACCTTTTTTTTCTGTAGCAATTTCAGAACTCAAATCCCCAGCCGTACTTGGAGGCTATGGCCAAGAAAAGGCCTGCATCCCTTGAGGGCTTGAAAGAAAGCCAGAAAAAAAAACACAGAAACTGAATGAAAAAAATGAGGAAAGCCAACCACTGAAAGCAACACAAGAGACAAGTGCTGAGGAGAAGCAGCAAGAAGGCCTGCAAGAAGGCCAAGTAGGAGCTTCTGAGCCCGAAGCAACTCAGGAAGAAGCAACCCAGGGGGCAACTGCTGAGGAGCAGCAAGAGGGCCTGCAAGAAGGCCACCAACCAGATGCTTCTGAAGAAGGGAAACCAGCTGCTGAGGCTGAGATAGAGGAAGCAGCAAAGATGCTTCCAGAAAGTGTAGCAAAGGCAGCCCAGGCAAGCCTGAAAGAAGGCTCTGAGGCTGGTGCCACTTTGACTTCTTCCAGGCTCAAACTTCACGAAAAAACACAGGCAGCCATCCAAGGCCTGAAAGAAGGCCACCTGTCAGAGGCTGCATTCTGGCAGGAAATCTCCAACAAAGACAGAGCTGCCTTGTGGAAAAAATATGAAGGAGCCAGGAACAAAGACCCTGAAGCCAAAGCAGCTTGGCTCCAGATGGGTGGCCCAGGTGTCCTGGATCAGAAGAAGCAACTGCTTCTGCACTTCCTGAAGACTGGTCAGGCCCAGGAAGGGGGCTTGAAAAAAAGCCAAGAAGTCGCCAACTCCAAGAAGGAGAAAGAATGGTTTGAGTGGGTCCCCTGGAAGCAGATCCTTGACTGGTATGGGGAAGAGGAGGCCCTGGCCAGGGTAGAGAGTGGTTTAATAGCAGTGAAAAAGGTGGGAAAGAAATTCTATGAATTTCTCCTGGTGAAGATCAGGACCGAGCTCACACTGGAGCAAAAAAAAAGGATTGCTGCTGAGCAAGAAATAGCACTGCAAGGTGAGGAACTGAAGGCCTGCAAGAAGGCCTTAGCAGCAGCAAGAACAAAACAGGAATGGGATGACCTTTGGCTTGAAAAAAAGCCACAGAAAGGCTTCCAGGTTGAAGATGCTTTGTCAGAACCTTCTGAAACTTCTTCTGAACATGAGGACGAAAGTTCAGCAGAGCAACATAATCCTGCAGCAAGTTTCCTGCAAGGCCTGAAAAAAGGCCAGGCTATGGTCTCTCAGAAAAAAGAAAAAAGAAATGCTGACAAGCAGAAGCACCTCGCAAAGGAAGAGAAAGTCAAGGAGGAGGACAGCAGAGCTTGCAAGAAAGCTCAGGCAGAGAAGACTAAGATTGCCAAAAAAAAGGAAGCAGACAAAAAATGGCACACAAAGTTAGAGGAAGCCACACAAGTGGGTGAAAACGAAAAGGACAGTAAGGTCAAGAAGATGCTGGCCTTGGTCAGCAAAGGAGTGGCTGATTTGAAGAAGGCTTGCAAGAAAGCCAAAGATGCCAGCTGGGGTGCAGATGTCCTGCAAGCTCTCATCAAATCTAGAGACAGCTTGGAAGATTTGGCAACAGATGGTGAGCTGGAAGGCATCAAGAACCACTTGCTGGAAGCAGCATCAGCTCTGAAGGCTTTCAAGAAATTGCTCACTGCCTAGGATTGGCCTGAAAGAAGGCCTGGGACATGGCCACTTTTGCCTTGACTTGCGACAGCATGGTTGCCCCGCAAAAAAAATAAGCAGCTTGCATGCCCAGGCCCCAGGCAGCTTTTTTTGGGTAAAGAGGTTCACCTGTAAGATACATGCATGCTGCAGCTGTTTTTAATGGCTCAAGGTCATGCCAGGCATCCATCAGAAAATAGAATTAACAAACACTAGGAAAAGACCAGCTCCAGGCCTGAAAGAAGGCCAGGCTCTAAGCAAGAAACTTTTGCAACTTTGGTCCCTGGGGAAATTAAGAAGCTCAGGGCTCCAAGAAATCGCTTTTGCAGCCACTGCAGATGGCTTGCAATGTGAGAGCATAGTGGAATTGAGCGGCTTAGGAACCTTTGGTCAATACCCAAGCAATTGCCATAGAGACCTTGTAAGGCTATTAAGGGCTAGGTTGAAAAAGTCCATGCACGGGGGCTTGCAAGAAAGCCCAACAATTTCCATTCAGGTTCCTGCCTTGGATGCCAAAGAAGAAAATCCAGAGACCAAGGCAGCATGCCACATTGTACTGCCACATTTGCTGGTTTGGCAATTATTCAGCAGCTATCCTAAGTTGGCTCCTTCGCTTTTTGGCCTTCACAAGTTGAAAGCTTTCTGGGGAAACTTGAAAAGCAATGACCCCAGGCTGTGGGACAGTGGCTTGAAAGAAAGCCAAAAACACAAAACCATCCCTCTCTGGCTTCATGGAGATGGTGTCGAATTTTCCACAGACCCCTTAATGACATTCACCTGGGGACCCACGCTTTATGCTCCTCAAGGCCTGAAAGAAGGCCCAAGGGAAATGCATCCCAGCCACCCCATGGATAGTTCTTTCCTCATAACTGCATGGCCAAAGTCAGCAGCTGCTTCCAACACATGGGTGGAAATCCATGAGGTCATGGCTTGGAGCTTCACTGCTCTTTTCCAAGGTTTTCACCCAGACGTGGATTGGAAAGGGAGGCCACTGCCAACAAATTTGAAAAGGCTTGCAAGAAAGCCAATTACACCTGAGGGGCATTCCTTCTGGGTGTTCAATTTTTTAGGCGATTTGGAATACTATGCAAATCACCTAGGTTTCCCCCATTGGCAAAGCAAAAAAATTTGCTGGCTCTGTGATTGTGAGAAAGGAAACCATCTGAAAAACCCTTTTGATTTCACCTCTGAACCTGGATGGGAAATGAAATCTTTGGAAGGCTTGAAAGAAAGCCCTTGCACCAACCACACTCTGTTCAAAATCCCTGGTGGCCTACCAGAATACAGAGTGTGCTTCGATGTCTTGCACACTTTAGATTTAGGTGTGACTGCCAGGTTGGCAGGCTCCATCCTACATGCCTGGGCATATCCACCTGGATCCAAAAAAGAGGTTGGGCCTGGCAACACTGCCACAATATGGGCACTACTCAAAGAAGCATACGCAGAATTGCACATCACAGAGAAGTACAACAACCTCGTGGTTTCTATGTTTACTTCTGAAAGAAACCCATTTTCACAGCCAGCAAAGCTCAAAGGCCATGCAGGAGAGATTCGACATCTCATGCCAGCATTAGCCATGGTGGCCTGGAAGAAGGCCAGTGAATGTGAGGCTTTTGCCCACATGGCTGAATGCTGCCACCAAATGGCAAATTTCTATGCCATCATTTCAGAAGATGATTTTTTCATGAAGGACAGCACAAAAGCTGAGAAGTGCTTGAAAGAAAGCATGCAGCATTACATTTGGTTGCACCGCCATTTTGGAGATGAAGTCAGATTCACATTGACGCCTAAATGCCACTATGTGGCACACATTGCTTTGATGCTGCATTTCCAAAACCCAGCTACCTGCTGGACATACAAGCAAGAATCATTCATGGGATACATTGCAACCTTGGGCCACAGCTGCTCACATGGAACCAGAGCTTCGAGAATCAGTGAATCTTTCATCACAAAGTACACCATGGCTGTGCAGCTCAGAATCAATGAAATAATTTAGAGGCTTGAAAGAAAGCCAAGCCTGGAATGCTGCTGTAGACATGGCTTCAAAGAAAGCCCTGACACCTTCAGCTTGTCAAAGAAAAAGCTTTGCCAAGATCAATATCGATCAATATCGATCAATATCATTTTCAATATTTTCCATCAATTTTAATCAATCTTGATCAATCTCAAGATCAATATAGGATTGATCATGGTATTGATTTTTGAGGTCCCAACATGTGCCATTTTCAATATTATTGAAAATGATTTTTTTTCAATACAGGGATTGAAGTTTTTCAATATCGGATCCTCAGGGTACTGCGCTACACCACACTACATCGAGGAGTTGTGAGTGAGGTGACCACTGCAACCATTGCAACCACTCCAAAAAGCACAACTCCAACCACCTTTCGGTCCATCAGTGGATTCGCTCTGCCACCCGTGAGTCACAATAACCCAGCCTTCCTATAGGTTTCCTAGTTTTGAAACTTTCGCCACCGCCTATATTCGAAGGAAGTTTAGAAGTCAATCTTCCGACAATATGGACAGATGGACAAGCAGAGGTGGTAAGAGTCAGAGAAGAGAAGAGAAGAAGAGAGAAGATCAGAGAAGAGAAAGAGCCAGAAGACATAAGATGCAGGCGCGCGAAAAGGTAGAAAAGTCGCGATTCCTTACGTTTTTTCCCATGATTTGTGCTCCGGAGGGTCGAAAAGTAGGCTCGCTAAAGCGGCGGGTGCAGAGCCATGTGGTCAGATGAGATATGAAAAAGTGCAAACCGTCGTGGCGCGAAGCACATTTCGAAGTCAAAATGTACAAAACACCTTCGCTTCGGACCACTTTTGGAAGTTGCGATGTCGAAAAAGTGCACGCCGTTGTGGCGCGAAGCACATTTCCAAGTCAAAATGCATAGTGTCAGCCCACTCTTGGAAGTTGCGATGTCGAAAAAGTGCACTTCCTTGTGGCACGAAGTGCATTTCCATTTCCAAGTCAAAAGTGCAAAAAACTGAGGGGGAACGGAGCACTGTTGGACGCTCAGATGTCTTTTTTGCGTGGCAGGTGCCGGGGATTGTGCACCTTGTGAATAATAAGCAAAACGTGAGGGTTTTGTAGCAGTTTTCAAAAACCATGGCAGGCGTGGGACATTTGAAGACGATTTGGAAAGAGGCATTTCGCATGGCAGGCGCAGTACAAGAGACACATGTGTTAGATGTGTTAGGAGATCCAGGCGGAGATTTCCTGAGAAGGGTTGCATTTTGGAGCATGAGATCTTCAGGTTTGCTAAGATGATTTTGCGTGACAGGTGCAGCACTTTTCGTATGACCTGGCTTCACTTTTTCGCAGGCGCAATACTTTAGAGAAAAATTGCAAAACACATTGGTACGAGGCCGTCAGCTCTGCACTCAACTTTCCATCATTGAAGGAAGTCTCGCTGAATTGCTTCGTTTTTGATGTTGTCAACTTGAAAAATTGAGGAAGTCTCGCAGAAAAGCTTCGTTTTTGACGTTGTCAAGTTCAAAAGTTGAGGAAGTCTCGCAGAATTGCTGCGTTTTTGATGTTGTCAATTTCAAAAATTGTAGGAAGTCTCGCAGAATAGCTTCGATTTCAAATTTGCAGATAGATAGATAGATAGATAGATAGATAGACAGATAGATAGATAGTTAGATAGATAGACAGATAGATAAACAGAAAGACAAATAGATAAACAGATATATAGATAGACAGATAGATAGACAACTGCAACTGCACTACACCACACTACAACTACAACTTCAACTAGACCTACAACTACACGACCACTACAACTACAACTGCAACTTCAACTACACACCAACTACAAGAACTACAGCTACAACCACAACTACAACTTCAACTACACTTCAGCTACAACTAGAACCTCAACTACAATTACAAGCGCCACTACAACTACAACTGCAACTACAACTGCACTAATTACTACAACTACACTACAGCTGCAACTGCAACTACAGCGGCCACTACAACTACAACTACAACTTCAGCTACACTACAACTACTCTTCAACTACAACCACACTAGTACAATTACCACGAAACTACAACTACAACTACAAGTGCAAGTACCAGTACAACTACACTACAACTACAGCTACAACTACACTACAACTACAGTTACAACTACAGCTCCTACAGCTAGTGCAACTACTACAACTACGACAATTAAGGCAATTACAACTTCAACTACATTTCAACTACACTACAACTACGACTACAACTACAACCACAACTACAACATTACAACTTCAACAACATCAACCCCACTACAGCTACAACTACAACTACTGCGCTACACCACACTACATCGAGGAGTTGTGAGTGAGGTGACCGCTGCAGCCATTGCAACCACTCCAAGAAGCACAACTCCAACCACCTTTCGGTCCATCACTGGATTCGCTCTGCCATCCGTGAGTCACAGCAACTCACCTCTCCTATAGTGTCCTATCATTGAAACTTCCGCCACCGCCTTGCGCGGTACTACTGGTAATATGTAATAAAAATAAATATAGATATCATACCTATAGCAGCCTATAACTATAGATATAATAACTAATAACATCCTATAACTATAGATATAATAACTACTAGAAAATGTTTTTCAAATCGCTGACACAACTCAGCTCCGAGGCACTTGATGGCCGTACATCGCTGTCCGTTGAAGGAGGTACTGCCCGCCACACACTCCTTCACCGCAATGTCCAAGTCGGCGTCCGGAAGGACCTGCGTCCAACAACAAACATGGAGCAACAAAAAAACAGGCAAACGCTGCAGAATCTGGGAAAATATATCGCGAAATAGGGAAAACCAAGAAAAACATGGAAAATGTGGGGATGAACTGCAGAATGGGGATTGAACCAATGGAAACAAGTGGATTTAACCATCAAGAACAAAGGGATTTAAGCAAAGATCATCCCTGCAACAGGGTGTGACAGTGGTATACCGGTATACCTTTCTGGACATGTCCAATGTCTTCAGGTCTGTTGCAAA